AATTGAAATTCCTACCCCTCACTGGAAGACAAGTGCTTGTCGAAATGGTCCTTCACACTATCCCCGACTACACCATGTAGACCATGTTCATGCCTGTAGGGGCGTGGGAGGCTATTGATTAGAGGACTCATAGATTCATTTGGGGTGGTACACCGAAGAATTGAAAGTGCCACTTGGTCAGGTGGGATGTTGTAATGAAACCGAAATTGGAGGGAAGATTAGGAATTCGTAGAACAAGGGATGTCAATTTGGCGTTCATGGCGAAGCTGGGCTAGAAAATTTTAAATGAGCATGACAACCTCTGGGTTAGAGTTCTGACTGCCAAGTATGGGCACGACAAAAATGGCATGGAAATTTTCAACCCGAAACAGGAAGCTCCAACACGTGGAGGGGAATCACTGTAGCGTCCCATCTCATTCAAGATGGTATTCGCTTCACAATGCGCAATGGAAGCTAGAAGCTGGAAGCGTACTCTTATCTTCCTAAGGATATTCAACACCAATTGGATATGATAATACTAGACGAAATGGAAGTTCAAGATGAGTCATCCTGGATACCCAAGGCATCAGGCCTATATTTTAGCTAGAAGAAATGGTAATTACATGCAGGAGCCGATCTAGGTTAAGATGTGGAAGATTAAAGTCCCAAGCAAAATGAAAGTTCTCCTCTAGATAGGCATGCATGAGCGGCTGATGGGCAATGCGGAAAGAAAAAGAAGGGGAATCACTGGAGATGGGAGCTGCGACGTATGCCAGGGTTGTGAAAAAACCTAGGAACACTTGCTCAAGAATTGTAAGCAAGCCAGAGATGTGTGGATAGCAGTCGCCGACAACGAAAGGTACAAATCTTGGTGTCATCTTAGTTTTACAAATTGGCTGGAGACTAACATTGTAGGAGAAAGGAGTGGAGAGGATACGTACTAGTCTCGTACGTTCACCATTACCATGTGGTGGCTCTGGAGGTGGAGGAACAACAGAGTTTTCAAAAATGAAACCTAGAGCACGCAGAGAAAGACTGCATGGATTGAGGAAGCGAAGGATGAAGTTAGCCGTGCTTTCATGAGAGAGGAACAATTGCAAGGGAGAGCTTCCAAGGAAAAAATTGTCCACCTCTGCTGGAACCCTTCGATGAATCACATGCTAACTTTAAACATAGATGCAAGTGTCAAAGGTTCAATAAACAGAGCAGGCATTGGAGTTGTTCTCAAAGACAACAAAGGAACGTGGCTTGACGATATCTCCTACAACATGCAAGCAGATACTCCGGAAGCCAGGGAAGCCAAAGCTATCACTTTGGGCATGAACTGGCTTTGGGAGAAAGGAATTCGTGATGTTGAAATACAAAGCGATGCAAAGAAGGTGGTGGATTGGATTCATGTTGATGCCAACCTTCGGGGACCTATCCGAGAAATAATTGAGGAAGCTAAATGTTGGCTTGGGAAGAATTGGAGTGTAACACCCCGTGTTACGATCTTCAAGCCCGAATTAATTATGTAATTAATCCCGCTAAGAATAGTTAAAAAGGATTTAATTTAGTTAGAATCCCCTTAATTAATTAATGTGGTCCACAATGGACCGTGGCCCCTTGTCTATATTAAAGACCTTAAATATGTTAGGAATAAAGAAAGTAAACCTTTTACTAGTCAGATTCTAATTACGAATCCTAGACCTATATATCTGTTAGGAATAAAGAAAGTAGGCCTTTACTATTCAGATTCTAATTAAGGATCTCTAACTCTATAAATAGGGGATTAGAAAGCAATTAGAACCCTTACCACCCATAGTTATATTACACGAAATTATTCACAAGAGACCGGGCCAAGAGATTCCCCACCACCAAGCCTAGGGAGATCAATCAGAGGGAAATCTTAGGGAAGAACCTTGATAGCCAGGATAAATTAAGGCTAAGAGGTAACCCATGTCTTACAAAACCTATTTTCCTTGTTATTGTTTATTGATTGGCTCCGATTGAATGATTGATTGTGTGATTTTGTATGTATATCTTGTTAGAGCTTGTCATTAGGTTTATATAGTGAATTATTGCTATTCTTGATATTTTTGATGGCCCTGCGTGGTTATTGGTATGATCTGGTATTTAATTATGTCTAGAACTTGTCCCTAGGGTTTATATTGTGAATCTTGTTGTTGTAACGTTCTTAGCGTTCTTGGGTGGATTTATGCATGCTCGGGTGTTGATTCTAGTTTAGGACTTCTCTTTAGGGCTTTGCATATAGATTTCTTGATGTTCTTGAGGTTCCGGATGCTCCTGAACCGTTATGTGGTTGATGTCGAGTCTTGGCATGTTTAGGGATCATGTTAGGATGTAATTGTGGTGATTCTTGGTTTAATTCTTGTTAATCGAATCCGTGTTGTTGTCAATGTGTATTAGGATGTGTTTAGGCATGGTTTTGGATTTAATTGAGGAATTCCCGAATGGGAAAAACGCCAAGTTACCTTCGTACCAATGGGGGGTCGGTGGGGGGACGAGTCCCCACCTACCGCCCACTGGTACATGACCGTCGTACCAGCGAGCAGCCGGCGGGTAGACGACCACCCGCCGTGCGCCCGCTGGAACGAGGCCGCCCACCAGCGGGTGGCCGGCGGGTGGTCGACCACCCGCCGTACACCCGAAGGGATGGCGTGGCGGGTTGTTTTCCCTGTTTGTTGTTTCCCCGTGTCCCGTTGTACCCCGTTTGATGTTTATGAGTCTCGTACAATGTTTTTAGTACCGTTCTAGGAATTTGTATCTAACATGTGTCGTTTGTTATTGTACCTTGATTGTTATTGTTGATTATATGATTGATTGATTGAATGATGATGGGTATTGTGATCATTGCGCAATGATGGTTGAGATCGATGATAATGAGATTGTGATGGGTGGAAATGAATTGTTGGCGGATAGCACAACGAGTGCTTGGTTATCGTACTAAAGGCACAGACCACCCCTTAGACTTGCTGGCTAAAGGCTTGGGTCAAGGTATAAGCGCCGCGGTGCCATGTCAGAGTTATATGCGCTAACCCCTTGATTATAGTGTTATAGGCATGGATCATGCGAATGGCACTTCGGTGCTACCATGTTGGTGGACTTGTTGGTGGTTTCGGTGTGGGGCATGCGTGCTCCGGAGGAATAAGGGAGGCGATATAAGGGTGGTCTGGAGGTACAGGTTGGAACTGATATAAGGATGGAGAAGAGTCAAGGTGGGAACTTGGTATAAGGTTGGAGGATGGATTGTGTGCTTTTATGATTACTTGCTAATTGATTGTCATTGGATCCGATTATTGCCTTTAATTGCTATTTATGAGCTTACTTGTCTATTATGCCTTGCAAACGTAGGATGCATGCTAGTATCTCTATAATATTCGAAATGTTGCCTTATTGATGGTGTCTCGAGTTTTGATCCTGGTTTTAAAGCTAGAGTTGTTTAGGTTTATATATGTATTCCAGTCCTAAAATGGTTTTCTTATATCTACCTATATTGTACTTAACGCGTGAGAGTGGGGTTCCAGCATTATTCGTTGACGGTTGTTACATCGTATGTTTTTCAGGTACAGATCAGTAGCTTCGGAGCGCGTTAGATGGACTCGTGGATTTAGCTTAGTGTTTGTTAGATGGCCTGTGAGCCTTGAATTGTATTATAGATATTAATTATAGTTTATGCCTTGTTTAGTTAGCCTAGCATGTGCATCTAGGTTCTCAAACCTAGATGTGGCATAGCACCCCGATACTTATGTTGTTAGTTCCGCTTTATCTGGATGATTAATGATGGATTTACCTTTAATTAATAGGCTTTAAATGTTTTAAAAATTAGGGGTGTTACATTGAGAATCTCTGTTTGTGCCATCTATAGGGTGCAAAACCGGGTTGCAGATGCCTTAGCCACCTCTGGAGCTTTTTAGCACGACGCTCAGACTACCTTCAGAACGTGTCCCATTATTAGTGAAGAGGTTTACCTTCACGATATAGCCCGTGTCACAAGTGCTCGTATAGTTAGGGAGTCCAACTAGTAGTTTTTAGTCTCCCCCGGGTATCCCCGTCACGTCGATCCAATAAAAAATAAAAAAAATTAAGAAGTGATACTAGCACAATATAATAGGATTACCACTTGTCTTAGAAAAGAAGAAGTTTAGGGAAAGGAATTTCCTAAATAAAAAATTTTCGTTGTTGTTGTGTTGTTCTTGTGTGCCCAAATCAATTGCTAACTTCGTATTTATAGGGGAGTTGGTCAAAATAGAAATTAATCATCGTATTAACAATGACTTAAAATCATTTTCCGTAACTTCCAAAACAAATCAATAATTCCTAATCTACTACTCCATACTTCCATTCACGCAGCACGCCGCACACAACCATTGAACGCAACGACACTTGAAAACCGCGACTCCGCGACGAGGGTGACGACTTCATTCTATCTCCGACAACAAGCGACGATAACAGGTTAGACTAGTACTATATTTGTAAATTATCGTGATTGTAGAAGTGGAGGCTGCCGCCTTGTTGTGTTGAACGGAGGCTACTGCTGCTTGCCCCTTTGTTTTTCCGCAGTAGCCTATAGTAGGAGTGTGTTGCACCAGGATTCCCTTTCTGCTATACAAATGCTTCTGACCACTGTAGTAGGAGTGTGTTGCACAAGGATTCCCTTTTTGCTATACAAATGCTTCTGACACTTACAACATAGAGGCTCATAGAAGTAATAAGAGAAGAGGAGGGAAGACTAGAAAGTTGCGGGAATGAGAACAAAATTGAAATGCAATTGTAGCTGGGATTAATTTGTTTTGTATTATTATTATTTGTTTCAGTTTTTTTTTTTTTTTTTTTTTTTTTTTTTTTTTTTTTTTGCAATTATCTTAGTGAGGAGGATTGAGGAAATAAGTCTGTATTTGATAATTATTCACAGAAGAGTTCATACAGTATTTATATCTATAGACTAGCACAATAAGAGGAAAGTATCTAAAGAATAGCACCTAACCTGCATGATAAATTAACTACCTAATACACCCCCCTCAAGCGGACGGTGGTGTAGAGACAACGCCCAGCTTGAAACGGAGGTCATCAAAACGAGCGGTAGAAAGAGGTTTGGTGAAGATATCTGCTAGTTGATCATGCGTGGACACAAAGTTGACTTTCAGGGTGCTAGTCGAGACCTTGTCACGGACGAAGTGGTAATCAACTTCGACATGCTTTGTTCTGGCATGAAACACGGGATTTGAACAGAGGTAGGTTGCACCGAGGTTGTCGCACCATAGAACCGGGGTAGTGGGACACTTTAAGCCAAGATCCTGTAGCAAAGACTGAACCCAAACTACTTCAGCAGCGACATCGGCAAGGGCTTTATACTCAGCCTCTGTTGAGGAACGCGCCACAGTCCGTTGCTTCCTGGAGGACCACAACAGTAGGTTGGGACCAAAAAACACTGCATAGCCGACCGTTGACTTTCGATCAAGAGAGCAACCAGCCCAGTCAGAGTCAGAGAAGGCATGCACAACCGGAGCTGACGACGCTGTTAGACGAAGGTCAAGGTTGAGCGTGCCCTTGACATAACGCAAGACACGTTTAACTGCGGCCCAATTGTCTTGCGTCGGGTTGTGCATAAATTGGCATAGCCGGTTCACCGCAAACGATAAGTTCGGACGAGTAAGGAGCAGATACATAAGTGAGCCAACGAGTTGGCGATAAACGGTGGGATCCTCTAATGGTGGAGACTCCCCAGAAGCATCCGTCGTAGCATTGGTCATCGGTGTGGCAATTGGTTTGTAAAACACCAGTCCTGCTTTGCGAAGCAGCTCAGTCATGTAACGATGTTGAGACAAGATAACGGCATCGGCGGTGTAGACAGCTTCCACACCAAGAAAGAATCTAGGCTTGCCAAGATCATGAATTTTGAATGTGGTAGCAAGTTGCGTCAACACGGACTCGACCTTTGAGGCAACATTTCCTAGTAGGTGTATGCCATCGACATATACCAGGATATAGATGCGGACCTGCCCTGTATTGTAGATAAACAACGACACGTCCGTTTTTTACGGTCGAAACCCAATGTGCACCAAGAAGGTTTGTAACCTTGTAAACTAAGCGCGAGGGGCCTGTTTGAGGCCATATAGCGACCGTTGTAGCTTGCAGACATGGGTGGGGTAGGTAGGGTCGACATAACCCGGGGCTTTCCGCATGTAGATGTCTTCCGAAATGTGACCATTTAGGAACGCATTATGGACATCCAGCTGCCGCATGACCCAGCTGTTGGAGACGGCAAAGGATAGTAAGAGACGGATGGTAGTCGGTTTGCCTACATGGCTGTATGTCTCAAGGTAGTCGATGCCCGGGATCTGATTAAATCCTTTGGCAACCAGACGCGCCTTGTAGCGGTCAATCGAGCCATCGGATTTTCGCTTAACGGGATACACCCATTTGCTACCTATTACATTCATAGTGTTTACAAACGGAATTAATGACCAAGTATTGTTTTGCAGGAGAGCATTAAACTCGGCGTCCATAGCAGCGTGCCAATGGGGGGATTTCACAGCCTGTGAATGACACGTCGACTCATCGTCGTCGACGGAGGCGACCAAGGCATGCGGGGGGCGACGCTGTTGGTGCGTTGTCGTCCGTAGCTGCATGCCATGGGTCCGCGTGGGGGAGCGTTTTCTCCGTCTCCTCACTGTTGTAGTTGACGGTGGATGGCTGAAAGGATGAGGACGCGTCGCCGGCTGATGAGGAAGACTGCAAGGCGCGAACTGGTAGTGCGCCACTCTTTGCCGGCAGAAGTGGTGGTGGTCCCGGCGGCTTGGCCTGAACACCGGAGGTGGATGGCTGTAAGATTTGTGCGCTGGCCCAGGGCAGCATAGTGATTCTGGCAGAATGGCCTAGAGCGGGATCATCAGCACCGTGAAATGGGAAGACATCTTCATTGAACTTGACATGTCGAGCAATGTATATTCGCCCAGTGGCCCTGTCCAAGCACCTGTAACCACTAAAAGCATCAGGGTACCCCAAAAATACACACGGAATAGACCGATAGTCCATCTTATGACTGTTATAGGGCCTTAGATACGGGAAACATTGACACCTAAAAACGCGAAGCATTTTGTAGTTTGGTGACTTTTGGAAAAGACGAGTATAAGGACTGTCGTTTTGTAAGACTGGGGTCGGCATTCGATTTATTAAATAGACTGCCGCCCCGAAGGCATACGACCAAAACTTCTTTGGGACGTAACTGTGAGCTAACAAAGACAAGCTTGTTTCCACAACATGACGATGCCTTCGTTCCACAAGGTCATTCTGTTCATGTGTCTGTGGGCACGATTGTCTATGCAAAATGCCTGCGGTAGTAAATACATAGTGTAATTTGTTGTATTCACCACCGAGGTCCGACTGAATGCTTTTAATAGGTGTTGAGAAGTGTTTTTCTACAAACGTACGAAACAAAGTAAAATTATTTGATAAGGAGCTATTTCTTAGAAAGTGGAGTATGGGATTGAAATAATTCCCTAGCGACATATATATTGGGAATTTGCAGTGTATGAGATGTTTTTTAGGAGATTATTCACAATATCCATTTCATTCTCTTTTCTCTTACTCTTCTTCCCCTTCTTACTACACCCTATTGTTATACAAATTACTTAGATTGGTTTGAAACAGAAGCTTTTAGATGAAATAACAAGCACCCGTAATCTATGTTTCTCCATTACTCCATGGTGATAGTATTTCTGAAATTTTCCAGGCCTTTAAACAAGCTTCAGGCTAAGCCAGACTAATGGTAGATAATGTATTAATTATTTTTCTATTTTAATTTTATTTATAATTTTATTAATTTTTTTCTTATTGAGTGTTTACCCAATTGTGTAATGCGAGATATTATACTAGTATTAATTAATATATGATTGATATGATTGATTACATAAAAAAATAATATATATAATCCGATCAATTTAATAAATGTAAATCTTATATTTTTATTATTGTATTTGAACAAAACAACATATATTGGCAGATGTAGGCAGCAACATATAAAACAACATATATTGGCAGCTCACAAAAGCAGACACGCACCGTAATTTTACAGTTTGGAACCCTGAATTTTTCATTGGAAGACCATAATTTGAAAACATGCACCGTCAATTGATTACGCAAAAGGGTAGAAAATCACAGTCATAGGTACGGTTCTTCGTCGTTCGCAAGGGACGGCAGAATACTGGGAAGAAGGGGAAAGTAGCTTTATTCTTTAATTTGGGAACTTTGGGGACTTGGGGATAAGTGTTGCGCTGCTGGGCAAGTTTTTCTTCTTTTTTTTAGGGGTGGATCAAAGGTCAAACAACAAAATTTTAATGGTAAGTTAACACCAAAGTTAACGGAGACCATTTTGGTTTAAAGTTCAATAGTTAAAGGACCACTTTGGGTGCAATTAAAAATGAGTTAATACCATCTAGAGTCCTCCGAGTATAGTGGTTTTGCCACGTTTAGTCCTAAACTTTCAAATTACCACCTATTATCCTTCGACTTTCAAATTGTTACCATTCGTGGTCCAAGTTAACCACCCATGGTCATTCAACTACAAAATTTTAACCACCCATGGTCCTTCAACTATAAAATTTTAACTACCCATGGTCCTTCCAAGAGGACCGCGGCTGGTTAAATTTTGAAAGTTGAAGGATCATGGGTGGTTAACTTGGGCTACGGATGGAAAGAATTTGAAAGTCGAAGGACCATGGGTGGTAAATTGAAAGTTTAGGACTAAACGTGGCAAAACCATTATACTCGGAGGACCCTAGATGGTATTAACTCAATTAAAAATTAAAGAACCAATTTGAAAAAATGCTACAGTTAAAAGACCATTTTGAAAATTTTCTCTTACAAAATATTAAAAATTTACAAATTACATTTACTCAATACAAAATTCTAACACTTAATTAATTATAGTGTCCATTTTACATCTATTCAATGACACAAAATCCACAAATGCACAATCATGTGAAGCTAAAACAGGGCTTGTTAGCTTTTTGGGTTTTTTTTTAAGGCTTGACATTTTAGACTAGTTTAGCCTCTTTTGGGCGTTGTAATTCGTAGACTAGTTTAGTCTTTATTTTGTAAGGCTTTGGCCCCTTTGACATTTTAGGCCACTTTGGGCCCTTATCTTGGTTAAGGCTTTTGGCCTCTTGTAAACTTTCGCTATAGGTCACTTTTGGGCCTATGACGTCTGTAAGGCTTTGTGTCTCTCTTTGATGTGGAATAAAAGTTCATGGTTCGTTAAAAAAAAAAACAACAAATTAGAATTAAACTAATAATTCATTATCTAATATAAATTCATGAGAATAATAAACTAATAAGTCAAAATCTAATATAAATTCATGAGAATAATCATACAAATATATTTGTGTCTTTAAAAATGTAAGTAGAAATTATACCAGAGTATCAGATTACTGAAATGCGCTGGTGTTGCTGCAAACTGAAAAATGTCAAAGCATAGTTCAATTATATGCAATTGTCAAGTTTTCCATAATTTCATAAATAACCAGAACTCTAGAGTCTAGACGTCTACATTTTGAAAACAACCAACAAGGTAAGTAAGTGCTCAAGTACCTTATCCAATTTAGGCATTCTTCATTTCATCATTCATCACTCAGTAGTATCCCACACAAACTGTTAACAATAAAAGATTAAAAATTTTAACATGAGAAAACTAAAAACTGTTTACTAGACTAAAATTGAACAAACAATTAACATATGAAAACATTTACCAAAAAAAACCATTATCAAGGATTCATGGCAGTTGATAGTTTCACATTTCGACGTTTCAGTTGTTTGTAAATTGAAAGCTTCTCAAAAGGCCAAAAGCATTCTCAAACCAATAGAGTATAACTAATTAGAATTAAATTAATTAATAACTATCTACATTCATTAGAAGAATTATTAAAATTTACCATTGTATCTTTGGATATTAGGACTATTAGGACTAGCATTAGGACTCTTTAAATTTGAGTCATTATATGACTCCCTATCCTAGTCTTCCTATGATTCCTCTTGTATATATATACTCCTTCTATGTATAGTTGTAAATGCAGTTTTCATAATACAATTTCCCTCAGTTCTCATCTGGTATCAGTTTAGCTAGGGTTTTCACTTCCTTTCTAAGGGTTGACGGATCTGTTAACTCTCCCGAACGGACGGTTTCGAATGCTCCTATAACATCTTCCACTAGATCTGTTGTTAACGCTTTATACTGGCCATCACTTTATCAGTATTAAGCTCACTCATAAAAATTACCTGTTTTGGAGAACTCAAGTAGTACCATTTCTTGAAGGACATGTTTTCATGTCATTCGTTGATGTGACCAATCCCTGCCCATCCCCCTTCCTTCCCACCACCGAAGGAAGCACACCGACCCCAAACCCTGATCATGCAACATGGTTTCGGCATGATCGGGCTCTTATGTCTATGTTGATTTCTTCTCTCAGTGAAGAAGTTATGCACCTCGCAGTTGGACGACGTACGTCATGGGAGGTTTGGGAGTCAATTCAACAGTCTTTGGCTTTCACATCTCGCGCCCGCTCATTAAATCTCCTTGGCCAACTACAGTCTCTAAGCCATGGAGATTCCACGGTTGCTGATTATATTGGTCGTGCCCGTGTTAATCTTTATGTATTCCAGGGTTTACGGCCGGAGTTTCAAAATTTAACCGCATCTCTCTCAGTTCGCGGTCAACCCGTAACCCTAGGTGAACTAATTGATTTCCTTGGTGCTCAAGAGTTCATCCAGGGGAATGTTCCTTGAGGTCCTCCGGCGGCGTTTGCTGTGTAACATGGTGGCGGAGGCGGTCAAAACCGCCATGGTGGTCACATAATAACTGCGGCGGTCAAGGTCAAAATTTCAGCAGCCAACGTAGAGGCTGCGACGGTGGCCACCGTGAGCATGGCAGCAGTGCTGGTAACAATGGTCCGATAGTTTGTAAATTATGTAGTCGTACGGGGCACTCAGCTGTACATGTTACAATCGTTATGATCCTCCTCCACAAGCAAATTTGATGTATCAAAATACCAATTCAAATCTTAATGACTCACAGACATGGATTCCTTACACGGGGGTAACCGATCATGCGACTCTAGATATTGCGGCCCTATCTACATCGGAGGAATACACGGGTAATGACACATTGCGTTTTGGTGATGGTAAGAGTCTTTCTATTAGTCGTGTAGGTCATGTTTCCTTTAATACCGGGGTTTGTTCTTTCCAATTGTCTAATATCCTTCATGTTCCTAGTGTGTCTACATCTTTATTATCTGTTCAAAAATTTGCCTTACATAATAAAGTATTTTTTGAATTTCACCCATCTTTTTTATTGTGAAGGATATCAACACCAAGGAAATTCTACTTAAATGCTATAGTCATGGGGGCCTTTACAGACTTCCAATTGTCAAAACATCTCATTCCGCTTTCCTTTCGGCTCGTACTACTCCATCAGTGTGCATGATCGTTTAGGACATCCGCATCATCGTGTTTTACTTCGCATTCTTCAGTCTTGCTCGGTTAGTGGGTCTAGTAATTCTAGTTTGTGTAATGCATGTCAATTGGGCAAATCCTCTCGATTCCTATTGGCACGTGATGAGTCTTCCAGTTCCAGTGTTCTTGACTTAATATACACAGATATTTGGGGTCCAGCTCCTAATTTATCAATTGATGGCTACCGTTATTTTGTTATTTTCATGGATGATTATACTCGCTATACTTGGTATTTTCCCATGAAATTAAAATCTGACTTGTATGCCATCTTTGATAAGTTTCATACAATGGTTGAACAGCTTTTTAATAGAAAAATTAAAGCAATTCAATCTGATTTAGGAGCTGAGTATAAGAAATTACATCATTCTTTCACTCAATTAGGCATCATTCATAGACAATCATGTGCTTACACCTATGAACAAAATGGTATTGTAGAAAGAAAACATAGACACATTGTTGAATCATGTCTAGCTCTTCTAGCCCATGCCTCCGTTCCATATAAATTTTGGGATTATGTCTTTGAAACTACGGTTTAGTTAATCAATAAAATGCCAACCATTGTATTAAATAATCTCAGTGCTCACTTTAAAGTTCATAATTCCAACCCCTTATATTCTTTTCTTCGTGTCTTTGGGTGTCTATGTTATCCATATCTTAGGCCATACAATCGTCACAAACATTCATACCGGTCTTCTCCATGTGTCTTCCTAGGTTATCCAGAGTCGTTTCGGGAGTATAGGTGCATGGACTTACAGACTAACAAGATTTATGTGTGCAGGCATGTAAGATTTGATGAAATAGTTTATCCCTTTGCTACTAATACTACTGTGCAGTCTTCTCAACCTGTACAAAGTTATCCTTGGGTTGAGTTTGTGCTTCGACCAGCGCCTTTCACCACAGCAAATTTTCCAGAACTCACAGGCATCACCCCCCGCCACACCCACCCGCGGCACTCGCGGGGCTGTCCTGCCCGCCAGACACACCCGCGACAGCAGCCCCCTCTTCCAATAGCAGCAAGGCGGTCGAGAATGAGCCTCACCAACTGATGGATCAACCTACCAAGCGTCCCCGTGGCCGACCTCGAGGTAAATCCGTTAGACCCATAGTTCGAACTCACGAGATGAGCACTTGCAGTCACTAGCTCTGGCAGATGTTTGTGCTGAGGTAACATAGATTGTGTCTCTTTTACGTGAACTTCATGTCCCAAATATTTCGGTTCCAAAATTATGGTGTGATAATCTTGGAGCTACATATATGTGCGCCAATCCCATTTTTCATACGTGTACCAAATACATAGAAATAGACTACCATTTTGTGAGAGATAAAGTTGCTGCTGGAGAAATTCAAGTCAATTTCATCTCAACAAAGGATCAACTTGCAGACATATTTACAAAAGCATTGCCTGGTCCCAGATTTTCTTTTCTTAGAGACAAGCTACAAATTACAAGTGTACCATGTGCTTGAGTGGGAGTATTAAGACTAGTATTAGGACTTTTTGTATTTGAGTCATTATATGACTCCCTATCCTAGTCTTCCTATTGTATATATACCCCTTCTATGTATAGTTGTAAACACAGTTTTCATAATACAATTTCCCTTAGTTCTCATCTAGGAAATAGGTACGATTTATACAAACTACTGAACTGCAAAATGCAAACAGCACTACTGGAAATTATGGGATTTCCGACCACCTGAAAGTGATCTTAAATCAAGTTGAAAGCCTTGTTTCGACCACTTTTGGTATCCGGAAAAACCTTTGTTGCTATTTCCGACCACTTTTTGAACTTTTTGGTATCAACTTAATTTAAGATCATTTTTAGGTGGTCGGAAATTCCATAATTTTCAGTAGTGCGGTAAACTGCAATTGTGTTTGGCTTGGATAGCTACTCATCTATTATTATCATTTCAAAATTGATTTTCTTTCATCTAAAGAGTATACAAAACTAATAAAAATTTATTAAATTAACAAAATAAACGTGAAAAATAGTGACGGAGAATTTATGAACATTCAATGATAAGAAAGTGATCTAAACACACACTGGGAATCCGAAAGAGCTTTATATAATATTAAAACAATTTTAAGGAAACATTAACTAATTTTTTGAGAAAAAAAAAGAAGCAAAAAGTAAGTCATACAGATTAAAACAATAAATCTATAATATGTTGTAAGAAAATTCAGAATAGGCAAGGGAAAAAGATGGATCATCTCTTATTCATTCAAGTGTTCCATATATATATATATATATATATATATATATATATATATATATATATATGTATATATATATATATATATATAAATACAAAAGCAATAATGGTGGTATTAATAATGACCGTTACATCTATTATAGAAATAATGTCCACTTATGATATATTTATAACATAATACACTTTATAGATCAAAGTCTTAAAACCTTAATATTCAATTTATACAGTAATTATACAATTTAGATCAAAGTCACAAAAGAACAAATTTTCAAACAACTTTTATAAGTCATGAAACCTTAATATTTTGGAAAAAAAAAACTAATAGCCGTAAAAATATACATGTTACACTTTTAGGTTGTTACGTCATGAGTTCATAGCCAAAGAAGTTATGAATCCAATGAATTATATTGAAGGATGTCTCCTGGATCTAGGGTTTCATAAACCCAATGTAGAAAAGTAGAGAAGTGAAAGAATGATGAAATGTGTTTGAGATTTCGATATGATGTTAGAGGAGAATTACCTGAGAGGTGGATAGCCGGAGACTGGCTCACAAACCCACAGAGAGTCGGTGAAGCGAAGTTGGAGACAGAGTGACTAATACCTAAGAAGGTGATGAGAGGGTGAGAAGCGGAGAGACAGAGACTGTCTAGACGGAGAAGGAGAAGACTTCAGCCTCCGGCCACTGCTGGAAATCTCGCATTTTCCGTCCAACAAATGTTGGACGGAAAACGTGATATATTGGTCGAAAACGACGTTTCCGTCCAACATACCGACCAAAAGGAACGTTCGGAAAAACCTCCGTGGGAAATTTCATCCAACTACGATATTTGGTCGGAAATAGCGTCCAACGAACAAAAATTGGACGGAAATTCAGGCGAATAACCCACATTTTTAAATTGTGGGAATTTCCGTCCAACTACGTGCGTTGGTCGGAAATTCCGACCAATGTTGGACGGAAAACTCACATATTATATTTTGTTATTTTCCTTCCAACTGTTGGTAGGAAAATCCTAATAAGAATTTTTTTTGAATGCTCTAATAAGCATTTTGTTTTACACAAATAGATAAAAATAATGAAGCAAAACAATATATACAAAATATCATTTATTCAAACAATCAAAAGTATACTATAACTTGCAAATGTCTACTAAAGTACTTGAGAAATTCAAACTCAATATATTTTTAATTGAAACATAGAGTACATGATTAAATATACACAATAATTATATGTTCCTCCTCAAAGTAGAAAATGATAACAGTTAACAAATATAAACAGAAAGCTCTCTTGATAATGATTACCCTTTTAGGGCCCAAACCTAGTCTCATATTCTACAGCTAATTCCTTATAGATCTTCAATCTTTTCTTCTCTAAATTCAAAGCAGTTTCTGCATCTTTGGCAATCTTTCCTGCAACAATGCAAAATTACAACTTGAGAAGGTAGATACCCAATAGTAAGCACACAAGTGATGTTCATTTCGCAATTAAGTGTATTGTGACTTGTGTCAAAAAGATATATCATGTTGAATTGTAAATTATGCAAAACTTTTCACCATAATAGCTATGATCAAAATGCACCTCGTGATTGTAGAGAACTTTGTACATCAGATCCTAATTCCACTGCCTGCCCTGAGATCTTGTTTACAATCTCAGGAGCATCAACGAACTGTAGTATTCTTAACATTCTCAGAGGCTTTTGTTCTCTGCAGCCTCCTCAGCTGCTTTCTGCTGAGCTTCCAATTCCACTACTTTTGCTATTTCAATTCTTTCGCTTCTAGCTTTAGCTTGCATCTGGAAAATAAAAACTTATGAGCACTAATAAAGCTGAGTATTCTATTTAAAATGTTCATTTTCTAACAAAACAAGAAGAATATCATAGTGAACATGTGTAATTCATAGTAGATAGAATGGTCCCAGAAATTAACCTTGATGCATGATAGCTACAAAATTCACATGAATGTAATTCATATACTTATTTTTAAAACATCTCCTTGATGCAATGCTCAAATGAGATGGTTTTATTGTGAACTGACAAAGATGAATATCAAGACCAAATGTCATTAAATATTTTAAATTGAACCATATAAAATAATGTAATATCAACCTAGCATGAACTCATGAAGTAGCATACACGGTGCATGCTACACTAAATTCAACAAATAACACCATGGCATTCATTTTTCAATGCTTGAAACCAAAAGTTGAAACCATCCATGAGTTCTTGAGCAGATAATATACCTTTATAGTGGCAACCACCCAATCTGGAAATTTAAAAAAAAAATAAAAATCACATTAGTAGTTATTAACAGGAAAATATTATTGTGGGCTGTTCAGAAAATAGAACTGCAGAAAAAGAGCAAAACCATTTCAACCAAATGCAATCTGTCCTCCTCTTCAACCTCTTTCCCCTGCAAATAAACAAATAAATAAAGCCAAGCCCTCTGGATCCCAAACAAATCTTAATCCAGCCCCTCTACTGCCTCCATGCCTACCCTCATTCCCTTAAGTTTCCGTTTTCCGGTGGCCTCGTCGGTGATGAGTTGGAAATCGAGGTTGAGGTGCTTGAAGTTGCGGAAGAGCTTGCCCCTAGGACATGAGAAGGAGCGTTGTCTATGGAGCGGCATGAGAAGAGAGAGAAGATCTCAAAGGAATTGTGGAGAAGACAGATCTGAAGGCGGAGAAGACAGATCTGAGATTTATTTTTATTTTTACTTTTTTTTTTAAAAAGAGTATTGGCCGATCTGAGAGAGTGAGTCGGCGACTATGGCGGTGGAGGCGGTGATTGCATCGTGGTGACAGTAGAGGCGTCGTGGTGGCGGTGGAGGCGTCGCGGTGGCGGTGGTAACCTGATGGTGAGGGAGAGGGAGATCTGCGGTGGTAACCTGATGGTCTGGGGTCTGATAGAGGTTGTCTGCCAAACTTCTCTTTTTCCCACCCAAAGTTCTATATTTCCCGCTTCTCTAAGTCCACAATTCCAATATTTCTTTATTGAAATAATGATTAAATAGGCCACCGAATTACACACCATAATACTCTTAAGCCACTAAATTTTAAAAATTACAATTGAATCTCTAAATTAACCTATTTAACACAATTTATCCAATTTCCTAATTTCTAATAGGTTACCCAATTTAAAAATATTTCAAAAAAATAATTTTAAATAAAATAATTATTTAATTTCTTTAAAAAAAAAAAAACAATTTCATCTCTATGGCCGGGGACGAAAAACTAGTCTTCGTCACCTGCCATGGGGACCTTTGTCTCCCGACCAGAGATGAAGAAACTTTCTTCATCTCTTGCTGGATTCTTTGTCTCCGACCATGGAGGCGAAGTTGCTTTTTTTTTTAAATAATTATTTTATTTAAAATTATTTAAAAAATATTTTTAAATTGGAAATTTATTAGAAACTAGGAAATTGGACAAATTGCGAAAATAATTAATTTAGGAATTCAATTATAATTTTTTAGCTTTAGTAGCATAATTGATTATTGATTTTCGTGTGTAGTTCGATAATCTATTTGACTTTTATTTCAAACATATTTGTCATCAATTTAATAACAAAATATTATTATATTCCAAAATTTATGCTTATATTATGGGCATTAGTGTTGGGTATGTATTATATGATATTCACTCATTTGTAATTAATAGTGTATGAGAAGGCATAAGTTAGTCCGTATAATTTTAAAAATAAAACAATATATATAGTATTAAGAAATAATAATACAAGTAGTATTTCAACGATTAACAAGCTATCGAATTTGGGCAAATATGTAAAATACACAAAATGAATTGAAGGTTGAAGCCTGATTGAGCTGACAAAATGGATTATGGAATTTTTAAGAGAAAATTGTAATTTATGCCCCTTCATAATATGTCAATTATTAATGTCAGTCTTAAATTATTAGTGGTGTAAATGTTGCCCCTCAATTTTTAAAACGGTACATATAGTGCCTTACTGTGTAGTGTAAATGTTGCCCCTCATTTTCAAAACGATACATATATTGCCCCTCCTGTACGATACAGGAGGGACAATATATGTACCATTTTAAAAATTGAGGGGCAACATTTACACCACTAATAATTTAGGGGCAACATTGATAATTGACATATTATGGAGCTGCATAAATTACAATTTTTTCAATTTTTAATTTTTGAATTCAATTTATAATATATATTAGTCACTTAAAAAAAAATAAAACACATTAATAGATCTGTCAAAGAAAAGCTAACTCCACGTCAGTCAGTGAAGAATGAAGAAGAAGAATGTTACCTGAAGAATGAAAAAATGAAGAAGAAATATGTCTTGTTTGGTAATCAGCGATTAGTAGTTTATGTTAGTGGATTGTATTAACAGATTTGACCAACGAATTATATTAGTGATTTGTAAAAAAAATGTTTGGTAAAATTAGCTATTTAATGTTAGCGATTAATAATAATAATAATAATAATAATAATAATAATAATAATAATAAGTGATGTGGGATCAAATTTGATCCCACATCGAAAAGAAATAAAGAAGAGGGCGTTGAGCTCCCTCATTAAAAGGGGAGCTCAACGCCCCCTTATTCATCCTTGCCCATCCGATTCCCACATCGGATGGGAAGGAAAAGAGAAGCCTCAGGCTTCATTATTAAAGAAGCCTAATTGGAGCTAGAGCTTCTAAAATCAGCGATTTGGCTCCAAATCACGACTTCTGTATGTCAATTTTTACTTTCAATTCACCAATTTTGTGTTGTTTAAATTTCAGTTATTATTACTTTATAACTTTCATGTTGTTTTGTGCAGCTCTACTCCCTTCCTTTCTCCCTAGGTTTTTAATGTTGCTTTTTATTTGCAAATTTTTTGTTTCCATTTCCTTTCATTTTTGGAATTTAGAGCTTGTACATTACTACTGCATAATACTTTTTTTTTTGTTTACAATTTTTTTTTTGTTTCCTTTTTCTTTAATTTTTTATCAACGCCCAGGTTTTCAGAGTTCTGCATCATATATCAAACAAATCTGCATCATATATCAAACAAACCAATGGGTTTCCATCTAGCGTTATACAACTTGTTCCCAACGAGTGGAGAATTTCTACTTGAGCTCATCTAAGACTTGTTTCCAACGAGTGGAGAATTTCTACTTGAGCTCATCTAAGGAGGAACATATTCAGAATTTTTCTATTTGTCAGTTCATTTACGGCCTCAGAGATCTCAGTTTCATAAATGTCCTTACGAATTCTAATAATAACTATTCCGTCAGAGGACCTTGTGTTTGGCTCACACCGAACAAATCTTCCTCCTATTACTAGATTAGAATGGTCACCAACAATGAGAGAAACATCCTTAGGATCACATTTTAGAACAACTTTCCCTCTATTGTTCCGACGAGGCCAATAAATTTTTGCTCAGAGCAAAGGAGATGAGAACTTTTTTTTATCACCACCACACATTATCTCGAGGAACTATTTTCAAAAATGTTACCCAGCCCCATTTTTCCATCTCGCTTTGCCTGAGAACTTGTAGATGTCACATATGGAAAAATGGAACAAGGTAACATTTCTCCATCTACTAATCTAGGTATTGCGTTAAATTTGGTTGAATTTAATTGTGGATTATTGAAAATAATTCTTTCCGAGATAATGTAGGGTGGTGATAAAAAAAAAAGTTATCATCTCCTTTCCTCTCTGAGCAAAAATTTGTTGGCCTCGTCGAATACAGGGAAAGTGGTTCTAAAATGCGATCCTAAGGATGGTTCTGTCATTGTTGGTGACCTTTCGGATCTAGTAATTGGAGGAAGATTTGTTCGGTGTGAGTCAAGCACATGGTCCTCTAACGGAGTAGTTGTTACCGGAAGTGATAAGGATATTTCTGAAACTGAGATCTCTATGAGGCCATAAATGAACTGGCATATAAAAAATCCTGAATTTGTTCCTCCGATCCTCAAAGAAGCTCCAGTACAAAATCCTGCACACGTTGCTTGTGAAGAAGCGATGTTGAGAGAAGTATCCTCCTTGATGCCTAAGAGGATTCCCTGTGGTAACTTTCTTTCTGTCCAGGTTTTCCAACCTAAAGCTAATGACAATTACTTGAGAGTTATTATCACATTTGATGGAAATCTCTATGCATCTAGAAGCTGCAAAGGCATTAGAAGAACTGGATGGGAAGACGTTGTCGGGATTTCATCTGTGGCAGAAGATAAATGCCAGCAGGTATTCCAATGCAGTGTATCTTGTCCTATAGCAGGCTATCAAGACGGAGTTGGATGTGTTACTACAAAGACTCAAGAATCATAAAGGTATAGTATTCTTTGATACGACTATTTATTTCTCTTTCTAATTAAGTCACTTTATATCCGTACCAACACTGACATGTTGGCATGACATAAAATGGCATGGCTATGGTGTAATTGATAGTTTTCAATGGAAAATAACTACATAGATAGGGCGAAAATAATGAAATAATGATCCGCTTGTCCTATACTTCTTGGACCTCTGACCAAGCACATCTCCATGTTCCAATATTAATCTTTGTGTCCTGAAAGTCATTATTGGAAGTCTGGCATTAAATGCTTTTGAAACTTGATTGTGATGACTTCTTTTTGCTGGATATCTCGGAATGTTTTTATACTCTTTAATGCAAAATAAAAGAGAGTAAGTTGTGGAGTATATTTTTGAAATTTCACACCTTTACCCAGCTGAATGTCTGTGGCAATTGAAAGCTAGCTATGTCTTTACTTGTACGTTCAGGTGTTTAATTCCGTCTTGATCGAAACGAGAATGGTCAATATGTTTGTAGTGCTTTTCGCGGTGAAGCTTTGCCTCCTGATCTAAATGAAGAGAGTGGTTCATATGTTTTGACTAGACCTTAAAAGGATCAAAGAGACGTTTCCAAACACCATTGCATTCATGTCAAAGGTGGTACTAAAGACTTGCACTTCTGTTTGTGACAAAGTAGCATCAAAGGAACTAAGAGTAAACTACATCTCCAAATTTAAAGGCCTACTAACAGACGACATCTTCACCTAGCTACAAACCACAACAAAGTTCAATGATCTAAGGGACAAGCTCAACATTCTCTCTAGAGAACCATAAACTTGAGAGGCATATTAGGACTAGGCATGTTAGGACTATATATTCTAGCCACACTAGAGTTCATTCTCCCTCTAATGTGTTATTGTGAATTTACCTTTTATTAATCTTTGCATTCTTATAAATACATATCTCAACTAGATTGTTCAATAATAAAATTTGTTAAGATACAAAATATGTGGCTCAAATTTCACGCATGGAAACCAGGCCACTCGCCATGCACTCCATCATTCACGTATCCCACATGCCGCAACATGTGTATACATGTTCTCCAACTCATGCCCATTTCTCTCTGCATCAATAACATTTGCTTGCTTTGTAAAGCTGCATCAATTTTATTCAATTCATCATTTCCCTTTGTCCCTTCACATGAGCATGCATACATACATACATACATACATATATATAT